CGTGGCGCCCACGCGGAACTCGAACGCCTGCAGCGCCTCGAAGTCCAGCGCCCTCAGGGCGAACAGGTGGCCGTTGTCCGCGTTGATGGACACCAGCGAGGCCAGGGGCAGCTGCGGGTCGTGGGGCGGCAGCAGCGAGTAGGTGAGCTGGGCGTTGGCGCCCGCGTCTCTGTCTGTGGCGCTGACGCTGCCGATGTGCAGGGCGGGGCTGTTGTTCTCGCGGAGGAACAGGGTGTAGGAGGTTTGGGTGAAGGCGGGGGCGTTGTCGTTGACGTCGGAGACCAGCAGGGTGATGTTGTGCTGGGTTTTCAGCCTGGGGGTCCCCATGTCGGTGACGGTGATGGTGATGTTGTACTCGGCCTGACTCTCTCTGTCCAGCGCTCCTTCTGTTACCAAGGTGTAGAAATTCTCCGCCGACGGTCTTAGAAGAAAGGGGAGATTATCGTCTATAGAACAAATAACCTGTTGATTATGTCCAGAATCTGCATCTGATACACTGAAAACTGCCACTATCGTCTCTGGCAGGTTTTCAGGGATGGCGCTGCTGAGCGACGACATGGCCAATTCAGGGGCATTGTCATTCACGTCCAGAACCTTGATGACTATGGAACATTTTCCTGATAGTCCCCCGCCATCTGTGGCCTCAACGTCCATGTGATAAGATTGAAATTCTTCAAAATCCAATGTCTTTCTCAGTCGAATTTCGCCTGTGATTGCGTTTATTTCGAAGGGCTGGTCAACGTCGTCGGTTTGAAGTAGGGCATAGGATACCTCTCCAAAGGATCCTGCATCTAAATCTCTCGCTGAGACGGTGATAACCAGAGAGCCCAGGGAGCTGTTTTCAGGGACTTGCGCCTCATAGAGTTCCTGAGCGAACTCTGGGGCGTTGTCATTGCTGTCCAAGACCCAGATCTGAATCTCTATGGTCCCTGACCGGGGCGGAGACCCCCCATCCAGCGCGGTGAGGGTTAGCCTGAGCTCAGGCTGCTCCTCACGGTCCAGCGCTTTGTCCAGCACCAGCACCGGGAACTTCCTGCCGTCGCTGCGATTGCGGGTGAGAACGCGGAAGTGAGAATTGGAGCTGATTGTGTAGCTCTGAAGGCTGTTGCTACCCACGTCTAAATCCTGTGCCATTTTCAAAGGAAATATCTTTCCAGGCGCAGTGATTTCTGATATTTTTAGGAGCATATCTCTGGCCGGGAACTCCGGGGCGTGGTCATTTATATCTCCCACTTGCAAGGCAGCCTGGAAAAACTGCAGGGGATTTTCCAGTAACACCTGGAAGGGTAGCAAACACGGCTCAGTGGCGCCGCACAGCTCCTCCCGGTCCAGTTTTTCATTTAGCAGCAAATCATAGGTCTGTGGGTCAAGTTGCAAATGCTGTCTGTTCCCCTTGAAAACAACCCGTGCTCCCCGCGCAGCCAGCTCTCCCCTCCTGAGTCCCAGGTCCTTGGTCAAGTTGGCCACAAATGTGCCACTCTCTGTCTCCTCCAATACAGAATATTGTATAGATTCTGAACCCGCCTCCCACAAAAGCATCAATATAATGAAGGTTACCACTTGCCTTTTCTTGCGAAGTCCTTTTGTCTGTGCCATTTCTATTGTTATGCCTGATTTCAGAGGAAAAATCCTTTTTCGCTCCCAATCACCACATCCACCGTCGACCCTCCAAAACGGCTTTGCTAAAGAGTTTCAAATTCGTTCTTTTAACTTCTCTGGCGATGACTGCCTTCCCGTACACGTCTATTTTGGCTTTAGCTTAAATGTGTTCAGTATTTTTTCTTGGGTTTCTCCGTGAAATGGCGTCCACCGGATCTGCAGAGCTTAGATTTAGTCTCTTAGCCTGTACTGCCACCACGCGTTCAAATTAATAACTTCATGCGGTGCTTGCCTCTCTACTCAATTTCCAAAATCTGAGCATTATAAAGACTTTTAGGTCCAGTCGATGTTTCTCAAACAGGAGTGTGTGAACCACTCGCATAAAGAATTACCTGGGAGTCTTAGGATCCCCCCCCCCCCAGAGTTAATTCTGGGCTCCTCTCGGAATCTTGAATCAAATTCTCTGTTGGTGCTCATGGAAATCTGCACTTCAGTTTTTCTCAAGTGATTTTCACGCACACTAAGGTTTAATTGAGAATTACTCCCTCAGGAAATGTAAATTTTTTGTGATCAACTTTTATTCTTTAGCAGTGCAATTTATCTCTGATGCTTATAAAGACTTTTAGGTCCAGTCGATGTTTCTCAAACAGGAGTGTGTGAACCACTCGCATAAAGAATTACCTGGGAGTCTTAGGATCCCCCCTCCCCCCGAGTTAATTCTGGGCTCCTCTCGGAATCTTGAATCAAATTCTCTGTTGGTGTTCATGGAAATCTGCACTTCAGTTTTTCTCAAGTGATTTTCATGCACACTAAGGTTTAATTGAGAATTACTCCCTCCGGAAATGTAAATTTTTTGTGATCAACTTTTATTCTTTTAGCAGTGCAATTTATCTCTGATGAACAATGTAATTTGTGAACACAAGAAATACACTGTGCAATGGTCCCAACAAACACATCAGCAAGCCATACAAAAGTGAAAAGTTGGTTAGCAACACTGATGGTAAAATAAGCAATCACTTCTCTAAATTACATGACTTACAAAGTGACAACAGACTTATTTTGTTTTGTGGTTACACCTGCCCAATAAAGGGAATAATCAGACTAGTGGGAGGAAAACTGAAGCCAAGGAATACTTACCATGGAAATATCTTATCAGTTAAATGATTTCAAAGAAGAACTAGGAGCCATCAAGTATTTGTCATAAGTAAGCATTTTAGGATTCCACTTTATTTTTGTGTGGGTAGAGTTTTGGTCATGATTATATTAGACTTGTTCATTTTACTGTAACTTTTTAAATCAAAGTCTCCTCCTATATTAATTAATCAAGATCCATATATATTACCCTGTTGTAAGAACATAATGCAATGCAGAAAACAAATATTTAAGACTCACTTCTACCATCCTCTCACAACAAAAATGATACTAGATCCTTTAATTATAGACCAACTAAGGTAGTGTGAAAGGTGAATAATATTTGAGTGGAAACCATGGAAATCAATGATAATTCATCCTGGCTATATCCATTCATATCTCACCAGTTTAGGAAAATGTATCTCTAAATATTCTAAAAATGCATGAAATGGGTCAGTGCACGTATAAGAACACAAATACACCAAATATAACTCATTTCAGATTGATTTCATATTTATTGAGAGGTGAAATCAATTGAGTTCCAGCAAAAATCCACTTCAGGTGAGAGCCAAAATGATGGGAGATTTAAAATGAGGATATTTTTCAAAATATTTCACTTCTAGGAAAAATAAATAAAGCTAAATAAAATCTAAACTCTGTGCAGATTAAATAACTTTGTAGTTGAAAAGCATCTGTTTCTACCTAGAAGGATAAAATAGGATCACTGTGACCAGATCCATGGTTAGGGTGCTCCTAAGGCTTAGGAAGAACCACACTCAAGGGGCCAAAGAGCCGCATGTGGCTCGCGAGCCGCAGTTTGTCGACCATGGGACCAAGGTAATGTGAAAGGTGAATATTTGAGTGGAAACCATGGAAATCAATGATAATTCATTCTGGCTATATCTGTTCATATCTCACCAGTTTAGGAAAATGTATCTCTAAATATCCTAAAAATGCATTAAATGTGACCGGTCAGTGCATATATAAGAACACAAATACACCAAATATAATTCATTTCAGATGGATTTCATATTTATTGAGAGGTGAAATCAATTGTCCAGCAAAATCCACTTTAGGTGAGAGCCAAAATGATGGGAGATTTTAAATGAGGATATTTTTCAAAATATTTCACCTCTAGGTAAAATAAATAAAGCTAAATAAAATCTAGACTCTGTGCAGATTAAATAACTTTGTAGTTGAAAAGCATCTGTTTCTACCTAGAAGGATAAAATAGGATCACTGTGACCGGCATCCATGGTTCACTTGGTAAATGTTACTGGGAATAGACTTCCCTGAGGATATCAATACAAAATAAACTGATGAAGTAAGCCAACAACTGTAAAGAATCATAAACTTCCATCTACTTATCACCCAGCTTCACAACATGCTGTCTTTTTCATTTATACATATCCCTCCAATGTTTACTTTTGCATAGTTCTTTTCTTAAGGTGATGTTCACACAAATTGAAATGCACTAATCTTAATGGTAGCATTAACAAATGGATCCATCCATACAACCCACACCTCTTTCAAGATATAGAACACTTTCAGCATTCATCGGGAATAATCTTAAACATATTTCCCAGCTTACTTTTAATAATTAGGTGGCAAAACTTGGTCTCTTCTGGATACAAGATGGAAGACAAACAATGTAAAAAAGCACTATGCCCCATGCTTTTTATGCTCACATATGCTAATGTGAAGTGACAAATAGTTTCAAGATTAATTCACCTGGATTATTACCAGTGTGTTGAATAGTACTTTAACCAATGAAACATTGTAAAATATATTAAACATAATTTTATTCAGTTAGCTTATAGTTATTACATAACTAATCAAGTTGATTTCCATTTTTATGCTAGATGTATTTGCTTTCCTTTCATTCTATAAAACATTTAAAAATTCTTCAAGTTAGTTAAAGTGAAAGATAAAGGCTAACTTTCAAGGATGAATTGAATCTCTTTAAAATTTTTTTAATTTAGTTATATGCAGGAAAAACAATAATTCAGAGAAAATATAGAAATATTTTCTTAAAGAAACCTCTCAACGGGAGACATGCTGCAGAAAGTTTTGAATATAGGAAGGATTTGATGCTAAACACATCTGAAGTCTGAAATGGTTGGGAAGGAAGACTTTTGTCAGTTTTGTTAGACTTTTGTCAGTTTGTCAATTTTGTTGATTTTTTTCAGAGAACCAGCTTTTTATTTCATTGATGTTCTCCATTATTGTTTTTGAATGTCATTGATTTCTTCTATTATTTTCATTATTTCCTTCCTGCTGCTTCTGTTGGTTTATTTTCCTCTTCCTTTTCTATATTCTAGAAGTGAGAGCTTACATGATTCATTTGAGACTTCTCTTCTTTTCAAATATATGCACTTAGTACTATAAATTTCCCTCTCTGAATTGCTTTAGCTGTGTCTTGTAAATTTTGATATGTTGTCTTTTCATTTCCAATTCAGTTCAAAGTATTTTTATTTCACTGGAGACTTCGTTTTGATCCATGGGTTAGTTAGAAGTCTGTTGTTTAGTTTCCAAGTATTTGAAATTTTTCCTATTATTTTTTCATTATTGATTTTTAGTTTGGTGCCATTATGGTTGGATAACACACACTGTATGATTTCAATTATTTAAAATTGGTTTAAGTTTGTGTTATGGCCTTGTTTATATGTTCTATCCTGTATATATTATGTGAGCACATTTGAAAAGAATGTGTATTTTGGCATTGGCTACATGTTCTAGAAATATAGATTAGATCCTGTGTTGTTGAGTTCTTCTGTATCCTTTCTGATTTTTCTGTCTAGTTCTATCATTTGTTGAGAGACTATTGAAGTCTCCAACTTTAATTGTTGATTTGTCCAAGTTCTATCAGTTTTAGCTTCACATATTTTGCAACTCTGTTGTTCAGTGTATGCATATTAAGGATTGCTATGTCTCCTTATTTTATCATTATATAATGTTCCATTCTGTGTCTGGTCACTTTCCTTGCTCTAACATCTACTTTGTGACATTAATATGGCCACTCTTACTTTATTTTTTTATATTTGTGGAATATATTTTCCACCTTATTACTTTCAATCTGCCTATATCATTATATTTGAAGTGAAGTTTCCTGTAGGCAGCATATAGTTGATCATTTTTTAAAACCCATATTGTCTATCTTTTTGTTTTAATTGGTGTGTTCAAACCATGTACCTTTAATGTAACTACTGATGTTAGAGATTAAGTTTGCCATTTTATTCTTTGTTTTCTATTTGTTCTCTCTGGGTTTTTTTGTTTGTTTGTTTCTCTGTTTTCTTTTTTCCTGATTGATTTCTTATGGGTTATTAGAATAATTTTTAGAATTCTATTTTGATTTCTCTATAGTGGTTTTGAATGTTTCACTTTGTGTAGTTTTTATAGTGGTTGCTCCATACATAACTCATCACAGTTTACTGGTGTTGTCATTTTACCAGTTCATGAGAAGGGTGGAAAATTTATCTCCCTTTACAACTTTTATAATATATAAGTAAATATTTCTTCAACCTACATTTAGAACTATATCAGACAGTGTTATAATTTTGGATTCAACCATCAAACATAATTTAGAAAACCCAAGAGGGAAAGGAAAGCCTATTACATTGACCCATATTTTTGTTTACTATGTTTTTACTTTTTTCCTGATGTTTTATTTCATTTTTAATATATTTTATTAGAGAGAGAGGAATAAAGAAGGAGAGAGAGAGAAACATTGATTGGTTGCCTCCCATAAGTACCCTGGACAGAACCCGATTGGTTGGTTGCCTCCCATAAGTACCCTGGACAGAACCCGCAACCCAGGTATGCACAGGATGCACCAGGGTACACAGGATGAAACTTAACCAACTGAGCCTCTCTAGCTGAGCTAATGTTCCATGTAAAACGGATTTCTATCTCTTTGGAGAACTTCATTTATCCATTCTTTTATGGTAGGTCTACAGGCAACATTTTCTCTTCATGAAAGATATTTTACTGGATATAGGCTCCTGGGTTAACAGTTATTTTTTTCAGCACTTTAAAAGTATTGTGTCACGTCCCTCTGACCTCCATGGCTTCTAATGAGAAATTTACTGTCATTCAAATTATTATTGTCCTATGGGTAATGTGTCAGTTTTCTTTATCACTGCTTTCAAGATTTTTCCTTCTCTTTAGTTTTCAGAAATTTAACAATGATGTCTTTTGGTGTGGATTTTTATGGTTTATCTTGTTTTGAATTTCTTAGGCTTCTTGAATCTTTGGGTCTGTGTCTTTTGCCCAATTTAAGAAGTGTTCTCCTTTCCTTCTGGGATTCCAATGACAAAATGTTAGATCTTTTGTTATTGTCCCATAGGTCCCTGAGGCTCTGTTATCTTTTTATGGTCCATTTTTTCTCTACTGTTCAGATTGAGTAATTTTTATTTTTCTGTCTTCTAGTTCACTGATTTTTGTTTGTTCATTCTATTCTATTATTGAACTCACCAACTGAGTTTTTTATTTCATTGTATTTTTAATTTGTAAAATATCCATTGGCATTTCTTTTTATCTTTTATTTCTTTGCTGCACTTTACATTTCTTTGCTGAAACTCTCAATTTTTCATGTTTCAAGCATATTTGTAATTGCATGAAGCATATTTTGAAGTCCATCTAAAAATCTTTGTAGATAATTCTAACACTCTGTCTTTTTGGTGCTGGCATCTATTAACTATTTCATTCACTTGTATATCTTTCCAGTTCTTGATATAACCCAGATAGTACCTTCCTAGATGTGCATTTACCCCAAAATAACTCTTGCCCAAGTGCATGAGATATATTCCATAATGCTTATAACAGCATTCTTCATGGTAACAAAACTCTTAGAGCAACCCCAAAGTTGGTCAACAGTAAAATGAATGTAAAGGTAAAGATGTATACAGTGGAATACTATAGAGCACTCTAATGAATGAACTACATTAACATGGATGAATTCAAACCTAGTGACAAAAATAAGTAAGCCCACAGATGATCCATTCTACATTAATCTACTTATGTAAATTGCAAAAACAGACAAAGCTAAAGAATATAACACTTAAGGATATATGCATATCTGCTGCAACTGTAAAAAAATAACAAATAATTAATTAAAGATTCAGGATAAGTGTTGATTTTCATGAGGATAAAAGATTTAATGATGGAGCACACAGGGATTTCCAATGTCTTTGCATTGTTCTCATTCTTAAACTGGGTGATAGGTACATGGGTGAACATTTTATTATTTTTATTTTAAATCGCACATATACACTCTGTACACTTTTTGAATGTTTAATAGATTAAAACTAGAGAAAGCAAAAACAAAAAAGCAATGTATCTGGAGTCAGGATGCCTGGTTTAAAATCCTGATTCCACCACTTACTAAAGTAATCTAGGCAGTTTACTTTAACTCTTTTTTAAAAAATATATATTTTATTGATTTTTTTTTTACAGAGAGGAAGGGAGAGGGATAGAGAGTTAAAAACATCGATGAGAGAGAAACATTGATCAGTTGCCTCCTGCATGTGCCCACAACCAAGGTACATGCCTTGACTGGAATCGAACCTGAGACCCTTCAGTCTACAGGCCAATGCTCTATCCACTGAGCCAAACTGGTTGGGGCTACTTTAACTCTTTATGTCCTACTTTGTCCATCTCTAAAATAGGGATGTCAATTGTACCATTATTTTGAGGATTAAGCGAGATATGTGTAAATAATTTAGAAAACAGCCAAGTATATAGACAGTACATAACAATAATAATTCAATATATATAACACAATTTTTAATAATTGTTATTTCCCCTCATGACCTACTTTTAAAAACTATAAGGCTCATTTCTAAAGAAATAAAAGGAGGTTTCTGGAGAGCACTAAGATATTTAGTGAATCTTGGAATCCCAGCATAAAATCTTTTGTCATTTGAAGGGCCAAGTGCTGAAGAGCTCCCTGCCTATTTATTACAATGCACCCTAAAGTAAAATCTGTTATTTTATAAACCTGGCCCTGAACTGATTCACACAGAACACCTTGTCACAACTTCCACTCAGACAGAAACTTGGGTGCAAACTGCCCTATCCTACGAAAGCAGAAAATACATAGAACAGCAACCTTGACTATATAGAAGTAAAGATCCATTTGAAAGAGGTTTGAAAGTGTAAGTGAGAAACAGTTAACAGAAACAATAATAATTCTATTATTTTCTCTCATATAGCAAATTAGAAGAAACTATAGCTAGTGGAATAAGAAATGGAGGTTTCAGTTTGTGCAGAGAAGTAAGGGAAAATAGTGATATAGCTATGTGAAGGATGGATGAGAGAAGTTTAAGTGTTCTAGGTACTAAACAATAATAGCAGGAAATTAATTATTTAATATTTATGAAAAGGTTACAGCCATATTCTTTAGTGATAAGAAAGTCAATATAAAAAGAGCTAGCAAATAAAAGGTTTAAAATGGGATAAAAAGAAAAACAGACAATACTAGGTGTTGATAAAAATGTAGAGGATCTGGTACATCCAAACACTGCTGTTAACAGTGTAAACTGAACAACACATTGGAAAACTATTTGGAAATATCTACTAAAAGTGAACATCTACTTACTAAATGAGTGGCAATTTTACCCCTATGTATATAACCAACAGAATGCACATATATATTCGCCAAAAGATATGTAAAAGAATGTTCAGAGCAGTATTATTCAAACAGCCAAACCTTGAACCAACCCAAATATCTACATACAGTAGAGTGGGTAATAAGTCATAAAATATTCATACACTGGAATACTATACAGAAATGAGAATAAAAAACTAAAATTAAAAGCAATATCATTAATAAATGTCATAAACATAATATTGAGTGAAAGAAGCAAAACACAAAAGAGAATATACTCTACTATTTCATTAAAAAATTTTAAACAGGCAAAACTAAACTACACGCTCATTGGAAGTCAGGATATATGTTATACTTGAACTGGTAGTAATCTTAAGGGATCATTTGTGTGGCATCTGGGATGCTAATAATGTTTCATTTCTTCATCAAGATGCTGATACTAAGTATGCTCACTACCTGAAAATACATTGAGCTGAAATTAACGATTTGTTCACTTTTCTGTGTGTACATTACAATTCCATAAAAATTTTTGTTTAAAAAAGTTTGTCAGTGAGGTAAGAGCCAGAAAGGAAGAGTATATAGAAAATTGTTGCTTTCATCATGTTTTCTCACATATTTATCAAATACATATTTTTCTTTCAAAATAAAATTCAAAAACCATGTAAAAACACTTTTTTAATTTTTGCTATTAAGCATCAAATATACTTAGAGTTTGGTGAAACACTGAATACAATTAATATTTCATTTTATTAAGACAGTTAATCGCAACAAATGCCAGGAAGAGGAACAAACATTACAAGAAAATCACCAGCATGTGGGGTGGGGATTTGAAATGGCATTATGCAAATGCAAGGGTCTAGATTTGAGTTTTCCAAAATTGGACAAAATAAAGTCCAATGGACAAACATGTTACAAAAGGGAAATTCAGGCTATACTCCAAGGTGGGATTTTTGTCCATGACGCTCTCAAACTCTGTATCTGGAGAAATTAAAGATGTTACAAAAGACACTGCATCATGATGAGATTCCTAATTGAATCCGAGGTTGTTTCGGAAGGTCGTGTTTCCCTCTGTTTCTTTGATAGCGCCTTGGGGCGGAAGGTTGGGAATAATTGGCTTCAAGAATTTGAACTCATTTGATCCAGAGCCTCCCGTCAGACACACCTCATACTGGTAGCTCTGGGACAGGGTTCCTGTGCCGCTGACGTCCACCAGGTGGCCCGGAAAGTGGCCCTCAGGCACCGAGCAGCCACCCACCCAGGCGGCCCTGCTCCGCCTGCACAGCCGCACCGCGATGAACGCCAGCACCGAGAACAGGAACAGCGACGACACCGACGCCAACGCGATGACCAGGTACACGGTCAGCGGGTCGGCCTGCGCCTGGTCGGCCGCC